CTAGCTAGTTCAACAACACGAGTACCATTTTCATGCTTACGAATGATCTCTTGTTTTTCCTCTATGGTCATTCTCTCATGTGATTTCTTGCCTTGAACCTTACCACTGGCTTTCTTGGGACCCATGGCGAGATATATAATAACAACTTTTATGCTCAAATTGCCAAAAATCCGAGAAAAAACTGTAAATTCTTGTGAAGAATTCAGGCGGGATAGTCACTGGGCATGAGGCACTAGTAAACTGAGGCGTAATCGCCATGCCACCATGCATTAGGTTGGCTGTATGCATATCAACAAACTTGTATCCCGATGCAAAGTTCGTATCCCGATTCAAATTTTCCTAACAAATTGGGCTTGTAACCCAAAAAGTTTGTAAACGGGGACGTTCCTAACCCGAGGTACCTTTGTACAGTATGTGCACATCATGCAATAATTATATAGAAGTAAATAATTATCTTAAATTTAGTAATTTTGTGTATATTCCATTTTCTTATAACAATCATGTGCTTTATGTTGTTTAATGTTAGATAAAATTTTATAATTACAGTAATAATGTAATTCCATGATTTTTCCATTATGAAAAATGACTTTGAACTGTACCACCCAGTTGTTCCCTAAAGCAAGGAACCTTTAGGTCCCAGAGATCTGTGTATTGTCAGAGCAGGTCAGTAATCTACATCAGTACAGAAGAAATCTTTTTCAGACTCCCTGTTGAGTCATGCTGATAATAGGGCAGTCAGTTACCATTCTCTCGAACTGTTCCAGCTGCTACACCTGACCACCACCAGATGGTAGTACAGTATCAGATCAACACTGGCTCCCCTGACTTGAACCCTGTACTAGATGTTTAGTCAAGAGCTGCTCTGTTTTGGTTTGGTTTGTGCCTTTACAGTAGTGGGTATTCTCCGCGAGTTCCATTACATTTGTGATTCCTCAGGCCTTTGACCATGCCCATAGGTGTTTTATGCTGTTACACAGGGTACAACAAGCTGCATCCTGTGCATTAGGGTGAGCTCCTATCTAATTTACCTTCAGTTTCACTTTGGCACAACTAATGTGCCTGAATTTTAAATTTTTTCAAAATTTTCTAAAGCTTTCCTCATACTATCCTAACCAGCTGTCGACAGGGTTTGCCAAGAATTCTTGCATTGACAGCTAGACCTCTTCTTTGTATCATGGGAGCACCCTTTCCTTGAACACTTCTTCACACTCATGCTCCATTGCGCTCTTCACAGGTGGGTCTAAGTCTGCTGATGGTGTGGGCGCCTCCATTGTCTTTCCTGACCACACCTTGCATGTGTCTATAGATACTAGGATCTTCATGGCAGATCTTTATGCAATCTTGTATGCACTTTATCATCTGCTTTCCCAATGTCAGCATTCCATTTTTATTGTGGGTGACTCTTGCAGTGCCCTCATAGCCCTGGAGTCATTTAACCCTATGCATCCTATGGTAGTCAAAATTCAACATTATCTGTTTCTTATCTTTAGCAGATTAAGACAGTCAAGTTTTGGTGTGTTCCCAGTCATGGTGGTATTACCATAAATGAACATGCAGACATGCCACAAAGGAAGCTACCTGCACTTGTCCTATTTCCAAAAAAGGCATTACTTATTCAGATTTTTACCCAGTCATTCATTTCTCAATCCGAGATGGCTGACTGCTAGCAGGGTTGGTGGTCTGAGGTTACAGGTAATGGACTGCACTCTCTTTAAGGTAACCTATTCCCTTGGCCTTCCTCCTTCCACTGTAATAGATGGTGGGGAAAATGCTACCCTGCTCCTTATTGTCCAAACTGAATTGTTCCACTTGGTCATGCATCTCCTCATGGAATGTCTCAATTTTCGGGATGTCTCAATTTCCTAATGTCCCTTGACAGAAATCCTTGTAATCCAAATTGCAATATATTACTGTTACCTTTGATATCATTCGCCTTGTGTGCTTTTTTTCTCGTATTGGCATTTAGCGGCTTGTGAATAGGAGTCTAAGTTGGGATATTCAGTGTCAGTTGCTGTCATCTGGTAGCAGTTAGGTTTTGTTTCTAGACCGGTCAACCGGCTGTTTGCAAGAAGATTAATTGGTAGTTCTTTGGTGCTACAGTATTAGTCTTTGAAGGGACTTGTGAGTTTTTTGTCTTGTGCTTTCTGGCAGCCATTTTGGACTGGATCGAGCATTCCCAAGTATTTCTCTTTACTCAGTATGACATAGCAGGGATAGTTTAATAAAATGCTTGTTGTGAATATGTAAATTGTTGACCTGTCCTGACTAAGCATAACCTGACTTGGGGCTAGGAGATTTATTGTCTTACAGAGGTGAGTGACTTGCTCAGAAAAGTGCTTTGCATTTTACTCTAGGAATAATTATTGTTCTTAATAATGACTTAAATTGATTAACTGAGTTTTTGAGTATAAAACATTTATGTTATATACTTTATAGTAAAAACTCTTTAAAAGTACTTTTACATGTATCACTTGAGTAGTGCATCATGGCAGAAATATGGTGCACAAGCATATTTTACCTAAATTTATCTGATGGCTTTTGAGTCTAGTGGTTTAACTTAATCATTGTCTTGTTTTACCTGGTTTTTGTTACATTCATTGTAATTCATTAAGTTTAATTCTAGTTGAATAATTGTATGGCATTATTAAATGGAAATTGCCCATGATTAATGAAGTAATGGTTTGCTTGACTGAAAAATCTCAAGATTTTTCTATGTACGTATTGTACAGTAGTTTATTTAATTTATACACATCGTTATTAGCACTTTTCTTTATCAGTTCCGCTTTGCCAAATCACTTGCAGTCCACATTCCAATTATCTTTCCGAGTTATAATTAAGCATGTAAATGTGAAGTTTAAACTGTAGCTCAGAGAAGTGCCCTACCGAGCATGAAATACTTTTAAGTATTTTTTTGCTTCATGTGCCTGTTCTTGTTTCTCGTACATCTGTTGCAGCTGCACTGCAAATCAGTGAAACATTGCTGCACAACATTTTTCCTGTAGCTTATCCTTTTTTACTATGAGAAATGTTATAACAATACAAATAACAATAATGATAAGGCTAGCCAGCCTTTATGTATAGGTGTGAGGGAGGGAATTATCAGGGGAAAGCATCAAGACTTTATAGCACTTGAAACGGGCAGGATGAGGATTTGGGATGGGACGGGGGAAAGGAATGGTGCCCAATCACTCGGAGGGTGGTTGGTGTGGTCAGAAAACCCAACAAGTAGTGCAGTAGAGTGAACAACCTGATTTTATACATATATAATCTAGGTAGCTAGCTAGCTAGCTGGATTAATGGAGTAGGACAATTAAAATGTTATAGAAATGTGATACAATAAAGAAAAATGTAAGGAAAAATCATAGATGTTTTGGTTAAATTGTACAAATGGATAATGAATGAATGGCAACGAGATTGTATCTGAGTGAATTCAAGGGTAGGAAGAGTACATGCGAGTGTGAACACCGCACAAGAGGTGGTGGGAAGTGAGGCTAGGTGGAATCAGTTTAAGGAGGAGTATTTAAATACCTATTAACAAAGTGCGTTGCATCTTGTCATATGGAGTCATAAGGCACTGCTGAGGATGGGTTTGTGTCCTGTGACTGGGTGATGCTTCATAGTGTGGTAGACTGAGTGAGTGTTCTTTTGAGAATGTTTTAGCCTTACTTCCCAATACTGGTATTGCTCTCTCATTTTGTCTGAGCTGATATTTCCACTCCATGAAAGTGGGAAATGGAGAACAATAATAATGATGATTATTTATTACAGCATTGATTATTACATTGCAACGTTTCTTGTATGGCTCCATTGCTGACCGCTTTGGGTTTTTTAAGTAACAGTTATGATCTTTATTAGTCGACACAATGTTTCAAGTAGTTTAAGTGATAGACCACATTTTCATGCATATTTTGATTTCAAAATTAATAAGAAACTTTTTATGCTGCTGTACTGAAGTTTGAGGGTGGATTGGATCAGTTATAGTCTGCCAAGATATCCGTAAAATCAGATCCAATTCAAGTGAAGTCCTACAGTACAGTATTACCATGATTATCATCACTGTACATTATTAGTGATATTGATCATTGACTTGGATACCAAAACTGTAAATGTTAGTTTTTCATGTATATATCAGTATGGCTTGCATTAATTAAGCCTGTTTTGACTTGTAACTGCACTCATGTTGTAGGACCCTGCAGTATGTAGCAAAACAATCAAGCTTCACTAGATAACCATTTACTATATTATTAAATAATAAAGCAGTACTCAAATAAAGGTTAATTGTCAATGATTATCAATGTTTTTGTAAACAAAATCAAAGGAACTGTAATGTTATCCGGATCGGTAGCAATGATTGTCAGTGACTAGTTTTGTGCGAGTGTAAATACAGCTTTATATATATATATATGAGAAGAAACATGATAGTTAATCTAGTTTATGATTGTGGAGGTGGACACTTAGGCAGGTTTCAGTGTATGCTTGAAAATCTGGCTTTGCATTTGTTAGGAAAGATAGGTCAGTGATGTAGCTGCTTCATAATGCATTCCAGTATGAAAACATTTAACAGAGTGGCCAATTATGGTGGTGTAAATTAACGTTAATTCAAATTTACCCAAATTTATAAGTGACATCCAAAGTACAAGTTTTCCATTTTTTTTTCTTCTAGAGCAGCATACTACATTGTTTTTGGTGAACTGCCAGACTGAGTACAATGCCCATAATGAACATTGTATTTAATTTGCCACTCAGTGTACAGCCATCATTATGTTAAAGTTTGGTAATAAAGGAAAAACCTTGTAGAAAAGCAACAATCATATCTGATATGTTGTGATAGACTAGGTGTAGAGAAAAGTATATATATTTAACTTACCATTTGACAAAAACATGCAAGAAACTTAATGTTGAATGTACAGTACATCATTATGACTGTACCGTACTATATTTTGTAATTACAGTGCTTGTACAGTACTTGTAATATTAAAAGGTAAAAGTATGGCCATAAATACTGCTCCACTTTATTTATTACAACTAAACAGTGATTACATAACAGGTGAAATGTTTTTTCACAATAATAATGTTAATATCAGGGGAATACACTCAAGTTAAGTGATATGAACATAAACAAAAGTACAACGGATAGACTAAAACATATCTCATGCTCTCGTAAACATTACCTCTTCCTCTGCTATTTTCTAAGTTTGTTGAACTTGTATAGATAAACATGGACATATATTTTGACCTGACCACACACTAGAAGGTGAAGGGACGACGACGACGTTTCGGTCCGTCCTGGACCATTCTCAAGTCGATTGGACTTTTTCGGTCCAGGACGAACCAAAACGTCGTCATCCCTTCCCCTTCTAGTGTGTGGTCAGGTCAACATACTTCAGCCACGTTATTGTGACTCATTGTCTGCATGCACATATATTCTCCTAAAGCACTTGCAATGTTGAGTGTTCAATATTTCACTTAAAGACATGTTGACATACAATGTCACTTTATTGGAGTGTATCACCAGATATAGTCTGTTGGAACACGAGGTTTGTCGTGAGACATCACGCCACCAACAGTATTTTATGTTATGGTATTATAATGTTACTGAATTAATGGCATAAAGAAATTAAATTCTGGATAAGACAGGTTGATGCATCACTTCGTCCTGTATAAGACAGGTTGATGCATCACCTGGTCCTGTATAAGACAGGTTGATGCATCACCTGGTCCTATATAAAACAGGTTGATGCATCACCTGGTCCTATATAAAACAGGTTGATGCATCACCTGGTCCTATATAAAACAGGTTGATGCATCACCTGGTCCTGGATATAAGAGGCTTATATTACCTAAACATTCTGTATTTAAACTTTCTCCCTCAAATTGCTATTTCATATCCAAAATAATGGATATAATTCCTTGATAAGTCTGTATATACATAATATGCTTTATATAAGTAAAGTACCTATCATAAGGTTGATATTCTTTCAATTTTATAATATAAATGTACAAAATGATATCCACTCCTAGAAACACCACTAAGCTTGTAGAAATGACCTGTTGCTATATATTGTAACTTTTGGCTGTGTTTTCTGTGAAAGTTGCTTGTGCTATATTGTGAATTATTAACGTGTGAGCCTGGATACGGCTAATGAAAAGTTAGTATCCTCATTTGTGATGATTTGTAATGATGAATGGAAAACTCTTAAAATTTCTAGGGGTAATACATAAACAAATACAAATTAAGTCTGTCATCATAATACAGGTATATTAATAACAACTTAATCCTGAAGAGTTTTTCATTCAGATTATGTAACAATTAAGAGCTTTAAGGAATTTCGTAAGATAGAATCAATACAGTATAGAGGCTGTAGACACACTCCTCAAATTCTATAACAATATTTGTATCTAGAATACCAAGTTGTTTGTGTGTTTTGTTTAGTAAAGCTCAGTCATATGAAAAAGCTTTAATTTATGTGAAATGAATAATAGGCATTTATGTGCACTTATGACCATAAATTAGTTCAGGATAATATTTATTATTTGTTAACAAATCCAATAACTTGCTTTTACATTTTAAACAGTTTTGTGTGGGATAATAAAGTAAAATAAATGCATTATCTCTAATGAATGGATTTGTGTGAGTGTGTGTGTGTAATTACCTAATTGTAACTATAGGAAGAGAGGTATGCTTGTGGTATTGTCAACTTTGTACATATTTTCAAATTTAGAATTGAATTAACATGAAGGTATGGCACACACAATTGTCTCCACCTCTCCAGCTATTGTTTACAATCATCATATTTTTTCTGCATCTGTATATTTGATATCTGACCTTTTATTTGTAGTCATACTTGGTTTTAGAACAACTTTCTAGTTTTCTGTGCTTATTATAACCTTACATGTGGCAAGTATGTCTTGACTTCTTTCATTCTTTGCAATTTGTGACTAATCTTTTCTCATCACTCTTTAGCATTATCTTTGGACTTGCTCCATTTTATTAATTAATAGTTTAATGTCCAACTTGTGTGGTTCTTGGAAAATCATGGCTACCTTTCCCTTTCACAATGGTTACAGCACTATGGATATTTTGGTGGACTACATCCATACTGTCTTTGCTACAAATTCCTGTTATGACAATTCTTTTTGACCTGGAAAAAGGTTATGACACCACCTGGAGGTAAAATAATCTTATCCAGCTACACTCTTTTTGCCTTCATGGCAATCTCCCACATTTTTTTCAAAGCTCGCTCTCTGGCTGCTCATTCCAGATGAGGGTTTGCACTGCTTACTATAATTTTCTTTCAACAGTTTGAACAACACTACTCCCAGGGTAGTGTTCTGAGCACTACTCTATTTCTGGTTGTCCTGAATGGTCATCCTTCCTTCCCCGTGGTATTTTGTCAGCTCTTTATATTGACGATCTCGCCCTCGGCTGTCGTGGCGATGATCTCTTCCAGCATAAGCTCTAACTCGCACTTGATAACATATCCTGGGTCACCAGTCATGGCTTCCAGTTTTCTACGTCTAAAACTTGTGCTATGACTTTTAATCTTTCTTCGCAGTGCTATGCCTATTCCTGTTTTATCATTTTATTTCTTGTTTATATAGTGACACCACTCATACATTTTCAAACTTGCACCATCATGAGGTAATGACTTTGAAGATCTGAACCTGGAGAGCTCTGATTATGCAACTGCTCTGTGTGTGTACATCTTGTTGTGTTTGTGGGGGTTGAGCTCTGGCTCTTTGATCCCACCTCTCAACTGTCAATCAACTGGTGTACAGATTCCTGAGCCTACTGGGCTCTATCAAATCTACATTTGAAACTGTATGGAGTCTGCCTCCACCACATCACTACTTAATGCATTCCATTAGTTAACCACTCTCGACACTTTTTTTTTTTTTTGTGTCGAGAGTGGTTAACTAATGGAATGCATTAAGTAGTGATGTGGTGGAGGCAGACTCCATACAGTTTCAAATGTAGATTTGATAGAGCCCAGTAGGCTCAGGAATCTGTACACCAGTTGATTGACAGTTGAGAGGTGGGATCAAAGAGCCAGAGCTCAACCCCCACAAACACAACAAGATGTACACACAGAGAGCAGTTGCATAATCAGAGCTCTCCAGGTTCAGATCTTCAAAGTCATTACCTCATGATGGTGCAAGTTTGAAAATGTATGAGTGGTGTCACTATATAAACAAGAAATAAAATGATAAAACAGGAATAGGCATAGCACTGCGAAGAAAGATTAAAAGTCATAGCACAAGTTTTAGACGTAGAAAACTGGAAGCCATGACTGGTGACCCAGGATATGTTATCAAGTGCGAGTTAGAGCTTATGCTGGAAGAGATCATCGCCACGACAGCCGAGGGTGAGATCGTCAATATAAAGAGCTGACAAAATACCACGGGGAAGGAAGGAAGACCATTCAGGACAACCAGAAATAGAGTAGTGCTCAGAACACTACCCTGGGAGTAGTGTTGTTCAAACTGTTGAAAGAAAATTATAGTAAGCAGTGCAAACCCTCATCTGGAATGAGCAGCCAGAGAGCGAGCTTTGAAAAAAATGTGGGAGATTGCCATGAAGGCAAAAAGAGTGTAGCTGGATAAGATTATTTTACCTCCAGGTGGTGTCATAACCTTTTTCCGGGTCAAAAAGAATTGTCATAACAGGAATTTGTAGCAAAGACAGTATGGATGTAGTCCACCAAAATATCCATAGTGCTGTAACCATTGTGAAAGGGAAAGGTAGCCATGATTTTCCAAGAACCACACAAGTTGGACATTAAACTATTAATTAATAAAATAGAGCAAGTCCAAAGATAATGCTAAAGAGTGATGAGAAAAGATTAGTCACAAATTGCAAAGAATGAAAGAAGTCAAGACATACTTGCCACATGTAAGGTTATAATAAGCACAGAAAACTAGAAAGTTGTTCTAAAACCAAGTATGACTACAAATAAAAGGTCAGATATCAAATATACAGATGCAGAAAAAATATGATGATTGTAAACAATAGCTGGAGAGGTGGAGACAATTGTGTGTGCCATACCTTCATGATAATTCAATTCTAAATTTGAAAATATGTACAAAGTTGACAATACCACAAGCATACCTCTCTTCCTATAGTTACAATTAGGTAATCTATCTATATCTATCTATCTTTATCTCTCTCACACACAGACACAGAGAGAGAGAGGGAAATTCATCAGGGTAATCGACCGTGTAGATAAGGATAAACTATTCAACATTGGTGGTACGCGAACAAGGGGACATAGGTGGAAACTGAGTACCCACATGAGCCACAGGGACGTTAGAAAGAACTTTTTCAGTGTCAGAGTAGTTAACAGATGGAATGCATTAGGCAGTGATGTGGTGGAGGCCGAATCCATACACAATTTCAAATGTAGATATGCCAGAGCCCAGTAGGCTCAGGAATCTGTACACCAGTTGACTGACAGTTGAGGGGTGGGACCAAAGAGCCAAAGCTCAACCCCCGCAAGCACAAATAGGTGAGTACACACGACAATGTTAAGAGAAAATTCAGAGGTATGCCACCAAACTAGTCCAGGGACTGAGAGGTATGAGATACAAGGAAAGGCTAAGGGAGCTGAACCTCATATCCCTGGAAAACAGAAGAGGAAGGGGGAGACATGATAATCACCTACAAAATTCTCAGGGGAATTGACAGGGTGGACAAAGACAAACTCTTTAGCACAGGTGGAACACGAACAAGGGGACAAGTGGAAACTTAGTACAGTACCCAAATCAGCCACAGAGATAATAAAAAAAAAAAAAAAAAAAAAAAAAAAAAATTCTTTTTGGCTCTGTGGCTGTGGCTCTGTGGCTTATTTGGGTACTGTACTAAGTTTCCACTTGTGTCCCCGTGTTCGTGTTCCACCTGTGCTAAAGAGTTTGCCTTTGTCCACCCTGTCAATTCCCCTGAGAATTTTGTAGGTGATTATCATGTCTCCCCCTTCCTCTTCTGTTTTCCAGGGATATGAGGTTCAGCTCCCTTTGCCTTTCCTTGTATCTCATACCTCTCAGTCCCTGGACTAGTTTGGTGGCATACCTCTGAATTTTCTCTTAACATTGTCGTGTGTACTCACCTATTTGTGCTTGCGGGGGTTGAGCTTTGGCTCTTTGGTCCCGCCTCTCAACTGTCAGTCAACTGGTGTACAGATTCCTGAGCCTACTGGGCTCTGGCATATCTACATTTGAAACTGTGTATGGAGTCAGCCTCCACCGCATCACTGCCTAATGCATTCCATCTGTTAACTACTCTGACACTGAAAAAGTTCTTTCTAACGTCCCTGTGGCTCATGTGGGTACTCAGTTTCCACCTATGTCCCCTTGTTTGCGTACCGCCAGTGTTGAATAGTTTATGCTTGTCTACCCGGTCGATTCCCCTGAGGAATCCCCTGTGTGTGTGTGTGTGTGTGTGTGTGTGTGTGTGTGTGTGTGTGTGTGTGTGTGTGTGTGTGTGTGTGTGTGTGTGTGTGTGTGTGTGTGTTTTTCACCTGTGTCGAGGCTTTAGTTCCAGCTCCTGGGGCTCCACCTCTTATTCACTTATGTGTATGCATATGTTCATAAAGCATTTATTAAACATGAGGAAGAAGAGTTATGCATTTCATAAGATTGTTTAAATATTTTACTAAAATCCATAGTTTTAGTCGTAAACTAAACAGATGATCAAATCTAGACAAAAGGTTAGTTTGCACAGTTAAATATTTTCTGCATCATTCCAAATTGTAATTAATATTATATAATTACAAACATTGTAGTGCTGTTACACAAATCTTCCAGTGCGGCTTGTGTAAATCACAATTATTGTCTATTATAAAGTGAATGAATTTATTTTTTACAAAAATACAATAGTACTTCAGTATGCTGTATAGTTTACAAGATTTGTAGAAAATGTTTATTTAAACATAATACTGGCTAAAAAAAACATTTTCACCCTGCAGCATTACTAAACTATTCAGGATTATCATTAAATTACTCCCTCAGTGAAACATTCCTGACAAATATAACCATTTTGCAACTCTATAATAATTAGATTTCCACCGTCTGTTGTGTGTAATTGTTTTTTTTTTATGATAACATTGATTCTGTATGTCTTGTGCTCGTTGAACACTTCTCCTTATACTGCTGTATCAAAATGTCAGCAGGATGAGGGAACATGCATAAATGTTTTTAATTGAAGAGTTCAGTAATTTTCAAAAAACTTATTATTTACAAAAATAAACTTTTGTATTATTATACTATATATTATCCTATAATTTCAGAACAAAATTTTACTGGCACATTTTTTGTATCCCCCAAATTATCGCTGTAATTATAATGTCTGTTCGTTCGGAATCATGACATTGATTAACAAACTAGTTGCTGTTCTTGTTGACCAGACCACACACTAGAAGGTGAAGGGACGATGACATTTCGGTCCGTCCTGGACCATTCTCAAGTCGATTGTCAATCGACTTGAGAATGGTCCAGGACGGACCGAAACGTCGTCGTCCCTTCACCTTCTAGTGTTGTGGTCTGGTCAACATACTTTAGCCACGTTATTGTGACTCATCACCTGCATAGTTGCTGTTCTGGTCATCAGCCAAGTTATTCATTTTACCTTTCACAGCTACAATTCCTTCCTTTCATTCCTAACTTCCCCAGCTTTACTACCATAATTTGTTCCCTGTTCCACTTGGGACATACAATAACTGATGGAAGGTAAAAGTGATACATACCCTTATGATTGACCTTCAGAATTTAAATAAGTGGTCTCTCCATGAGCATCATATTAATATGTCAAGTTCTTATGTGAAATTAAAATGGTAATGTTGAGTAAATTGAGCATGTAATCACTAGCTTGGTTGTTACTTATGGAGACTATTGAAGATGACTTAATAACAACCAAACAGTCAAGGTGTGAAGATGTTATCAGGTGCTTAGAGGCTTGATACAAACAATGGGATACGAAAAGCCGACATAATCTTACTTTTATTAAGAAGGTCACTTTACACAGTGAATCAATTCTGTTCACTCTCGAGTTATCTGTGGTGAAAGGCAGGCGAGAGCCTGCCCTCTCCAACCCCACCTGACAACCTGCCATAGACTCCTCCCTCACCTTACCTAATACTTGTCACTATACATAATAGTTTTGGTGACTGGTCAAGCCCAGAGAAGATGCTCTCTCCAGTGACACATGGCAAGAATAACTCTAGCCCCCCAAAATGATGGTGATGATCATCTTTATGCCTGTGGTAAGCCTGACACTTCTTTGCCAGACCTAACTGGTCACCTGTACTGCTGCTGTGGTGCCAAGTATGTCAGGTACTTGGTTCATAGAGCTCAACTACTGCCTAATATTTAATTAATTTGTTATTTTTCATAATTAGAATGATGAACAAATATTATCAGCCAAAATATTCATGGAAGAGAAACTTGGGGAACTATCGCACAAAATTTCCTAATCAAATGATCATATAGCTCGTCAAACACAAGTTTACGAGTTTTTTGTACTCTCGTCAGGGAATAAATACAGGTCTGATTAGCAAATAAATGGTGTGTTAAATATTGGAATCTGATTACATCTATATATATATATAACAACCTAACCCAGTCTCATATGGTGTTTTAATGCAGTGAGTGTAGCACTATCTTCCTCCTATTGGCAAGAAGTTCTTACTGGCAGTGAAACGCATCACTTCTGGAACATACGAACTATCTGTTTACAATCAGACCTCACTATTTTGTTACAAGTTTTATAAACATTCACCTTTGATTGCTAGGCAGATCATTGAGGCACAAACAAGCACCAATTGATTTTTATACAAAAAAAAGTAATGTTGGGATTTAGATCTTAAGTCAGGTATTGCAACCATTTAGATAATTCAGCATCATGTTTTTCCTACATGATTTGTCAATTGTTCTATAACCAGGTCCCCAATTACTGCTAGAAAAACAGTGGCAAATATTATATGAGTGATGCCTAACTGTGTTGCCCTGGCCATGGTCCGAGCCCAGGTTATTTTCATTGCCACCAGGAATCTGCACAGTGTAAGTTGCCTATGAGATTTATTGTCTTGCTTTTGCCCAAAGGACTTGCCAAATTTGCCAATATGCTTGCTTTAAGGTTAATTTAATGCCAGACCCCGGATGGCAATGCATGATTACAGTACCTTGATTATTGCAGTTCAGGCTTTATCATTCAATATTTTTGTAATTGTATATAATTATTTTATTGTTCCAATTATAATTTTAATTTAGCCTCACGATTAAAACTATTAGTAAGTAGGAGCCGTGCCAAAGATTCGAACTTATACTCTGGATTCAAATCTAAGGCCCAAGCAAACGCCTTTGACAACTAGGCCATGGCATGAAAACTATTGCAACCTTTGATTCAACTGATTCCTCAAGGGTTCCCGAAGCTTCCACAGAAGTCAAACCAGGGTTTTACACAATTCCCTTCATGCACTTTGACTCTGTTGTCTAGGAATTCTTCCTCTAACACTTCCTCTTCAATGCACAGAGAAATCACATTATTAATGTATAAATGAGAAAATCAGTAGGCGCCATGACAAGGATTCGTACTTGTGTTTTGGGTACTCCCAAGCAGAAGCAGAGGATTGGCTCGAATCGTTGTCATGGATCCTACCTATTTTCTACTCGATACATCACGTTAATGTGATTTATCTGTGCATTATAACTTATTAATAATGTACAATTATTGGTATTATTGCATTCATAATTACTACCATCATAGTTACACCCATTAGGCTCATCATTTTGTTCTTGACTGAAGCCCCGGAAAGTCCCACACTGTAGCCCCAGCTAACAATCAATATGAAAATTACAACAATGTTCTAAAACTAACGTTTCCATAACTGCCAAACAAGGGTAACTTGACTGCAGCTCCTTTGAGCTCTCTTAATACTGTCAGTGACCTACTAAGAGTAAATATTCAAGACATATCTATTGTACACCAAGGTATGAAATGTTTTGGTCACTATATACTGTACAGAGGAAATGTTTAAGTGAAAAAATAAGCAGTGTAAAAATGCAGGTGGGACCTTTATACACACACACACACACACACACACACACACACACACACACACACACACACACACACACACACACACACACACACACACACACACACACGACTTGCTACAAGGCTTGGCTTGTGGAGGAGATAAAGAAATGTTCTCCGTCACATGTTCAAAGGGGAACGCTCTCTGGATAAACACACATGCATGAATAAAAGTGTTTGTAACTGGGCGACACTCACAACTCACTCATGTCAAAGCTAGGTACATCCAGCTTTGCTCAATTTATTAGACTTCCTGTTTACTTGCCAACCTGATGTGTTACACCTGTTTATTTACTGATCTGATTAATAATACTCAGGGTCTGATGAATTACACCCAAGACCATACTTTTGGGAAGCATCCTTTAATTTTTCATCAATCATTCTCAATTCTGATGGCATTTATTTTTCTCACACTTTCATGACAAAAGTTGGTGTTGCATGCTTATAAAGACACACACATACAGAACCACAGAGCTGAAGCTCAACTCCTGCAAGCACAATTAGGCGAGTTCATACACACACATGCACCATACATAGACCCGTATCAATGACAAGTGTGGTAGTCAAAACACTAGAAAAAATACTTAAAAGTAAAGAGGTAAAACACCTGGAGTTATTCATAAATTGAAGACAAAACAGACAGTATGGCTTTCAAACAAGAAGATCCTGTGTAACAAATTTATTTAGTTTTTATGATAGAGTCAGAGATTCTACAGAAAAGAGATGTTTGGGTTGACTGTATCTGGACCTAAAAAAAAAAAAAATGGAAACTAACATGCTGAAAGGGTGACAGGGAGACTATTGACATGGCTGAAAAATCTTCTGACAAAGATGAGTTTGGTAATTAGAGGCAATGTATCCGACTGAAAGGAGTGTTACTAGCAGAGAACAGAGTACAGTTCTTGTGCCAGTAATGTTCATTGTTTACATAAAGAATCTACCAGAAGGAAAGAAGAATTATATGAACATGTTTGCTGATAAGCTATTAGGGAAGATAAGAAACCTAGATGATTTCAAAATGCCCTCTAAATTGACCTAGATAAAATAATTGCTTGGAGTGCCATGTGGCAAATGGAATTCAAATGTGAATAAATGCAATGTTATGGAATGTGGGATCAGAGAAAATAGGTCACACACAACTTAGAGATTATGTGGAAAGGAATTGAAGAACTAACGAAGAAAGATCTAGGGGCGATTTTCGATAGTAGACCGTCACCAGAGGAACACACGGAACATTGTGTGAGGAGCATCCGAGTAGCTTTTCAATTTCAGAATCACTTAATTTCATGGATGATGAAATACTAAAGAAATTGTTCATGACTTGCAAGACCAAAATTGGAATATACAGCAGTTGTATGGTGCCCATATCTCAAGGACATCAGTAAACTGGGAAAGGTGCAACAGCATGCTATAAAACGAAAAACAATTGTTACGAAGAAAGACTGGAGGCATTTAAATATGCCACAGCTAGAAGATACAAGAAAAGGAGATGATATGATCATTACTTACAAAATAATAACAGGAATCAACCGAATTGACAAAGAGGAATTTCTGAAACCAGCAACTTTAAGGAACAAGAGGTCACAGATTCCAGTTAAGGAAACAAAGGTGTTGAAAAGAATGTTTTCTTTCGCACTCACAGTGGTAGATGGTTGGAACAAGTTAAGTGAGAAAGTTGTGGGAGATCAAAGCCGTCAGTAGTTTCAAAGCATTATATGACAGTGCTGGGAAGACGGGACACTACGATCGTAGCACTCATCCTGTAACTACACTTAGGTAATCTCACACACACACACCCACCCTTGTCAATGTAATACTGTATACAGGTGTTCCTCAATGCTCATATCGAGCCACTTCTATACACGGACCAACTTAAAACGACTCTTAATTGACTACTGTGTATTGGTTAGCACATCAGAACCTCTGTAAAACTTGGGGTATTTTGCATATCGAGTAATTAAACAGCAGTGTCATATTTAGCTAAAACATATATGGTTTGGTGTGCTGCAAAAGGTCACAATACACAAAGGTACTTACTTTGTTATAATAACAAGACACTGCTGGAGTTGCCGGCATGAGTGAAGTCTGTACAAGAGAGTATCGGGACCGAGTCGGATATGTGCACTCCAAAACCCCCACACACTACCTGAAGCAAGAACTGAAGATCAGCTGTCACATGCTACATTATGTGCAGGATTGTGGGAGAGATTTGGATCATCTAGAATATGATCACTATCATTAAATTGTTTACTCTTTCCGGGTAATATACAGTTCAACATCCGGTTCTGTGACTAATACCAAGCTAGACTAGACACACACACACAAAATGGATGGTGGGAGCATTCAGGTTTGTTGTTTAAGGTCAGGTACACCAATCAGAAGAGTTCTTTGTCTTCCCACCATGAACAAAGGAACAGTAAACTAAAATCTTCTCGGAAGATTCGTCAATGCGATATAGTCGAGCCTTGGGTGGTGTAGTGCATCACAGAGGGTATGTCTCATAACTCAAATATTCATCATTATCAGTGTTACAAGTAATTCATCTACTTGGGTCTCAAAATATTTCCAAGGCTTGATGATCAAGGTGTGTCTGATGCATAATGATGATTAGATGTAGGAGAACCAGTGTCCAGTACTCCTCTGTTATGTGCAACAGTATCAGCTTGTGATGTAGACTAATGCACAGGCTTCAGATCGAGCACACATGATGCCGAAAACCCTGCAGATTTGCTCACACTTTTGTTGGGATGGTATACTGGAAGCTGATTTGCTCACACCACCACTGACTGAACGCATTACATCAATGTTGATAAAAGGTTACAGTTCATGGTCATGAGGTTCACCTTGGTTATGTTTATATGCAATTTCTTATTAACAAGAATTGTATACAGAGAGCTGCCATTATATGTATTTACATTTTTGATGAGTGGGGGTGAAAAGGGCTACGAGATAATATAGAACAAGAAGAGTAGAGGAGCTAATACTGATTTAGAGTTTTTTCATGTAGGGAGATGACTAGATCTAGCACTTAGAAAATTCTAATGATTTATAGTAAAATAGGTAAAAAATATATATATTACATACATTACATTTAAACTTGAAGGCTGGTTTGTGTTAAAATGTATGTGCGTGGAATGCTGTAAAGTACGTATATGTAACATCACTGATGTAGTATTCTGTACTGTATCACATTCCTGTATGTAATATGCACAAGTCAATATGTATTATATGTACCCTACAAGCATGTGCCTTTCAACATGAGAGTGCATACAAACATGCATACATACAAAGTCTGCCCTGATGTGGAGCCAGTTTGTTCTTGAATGACAATTACAACTTGTGTGTGGATGCAGAGGAGGTGGGTGGGGGGGGGGGGGAGAGAAGAGTCAGGTGTGGCTTTCTCATGCCCAGGTGTGTGGGGTAAGTGGCTTTCCCATTCCCATATGCATGTAGATAAGCGTGCCTTCTCTATGCCCAAATGTGTGCGAGTATATGTGGGTATATGTGGGTGCGAGTACATTTCCAGGCATGTGGGTAATTGTATAACAAAGGCAGGAGGAGAAAGTGGAAGGGGGGACGACCAACAAACCTGGAGAATAGGATATCCTCGAGCTTCAAAGATGTATTAATGTTCGACAGTGTTGACGTTCCCTGTCCCCAGTCACACCACGGGGCAGGAGGAGCATGGTGCCGATCATTTAACTGTCATTGGAGACTCAAACAAGAGTCTCATAAATGGTGGAGACGGCAGATAGGTGGGTGGCCACCACCTTAGAAAGCCTCAACAACACGTGCACCAGTCCGGGCGGGATTTGGGGTAATATACAGCCCATCCTCCTGATCTAGTAGTACTTATAGTAACGATGAGGACTATAGTACATATACCGACGTATATCGCAATTAGAAAGTAGAAATATGTACTACTGAATTTGGACAAACCAGAAATTATATATTTATGTTGCACAGACAAGTATGTAAGTAATTATCAATAGAAGGCACCAAACCGGGAAGGCTATGTAGTTGCACAGACAAACTTAAACTAATCCTAACCTTCCTTGGTCTAATACTCTATATCTGAGGCCTAATATAGTACACGTGTGTGCTATACTAGCCCTACGAATATTAGTTTTTTCGCTGAATTTTTTCAGACAAAGTGAAAAGTACTTCTAAAGTACTTTTAAAGTAAAGTATCTAAACAGGAGGATGGGTTGTAATGTATCTACACTCAACATGGCGTTTATGGATATGTATATCAAGGCGGGTAAAGGTCATTGTGGAGACCTTTATTTATTTTCCCGACAGGAAAATATCTAGGCCACATAGCGGGGCCATACAGACCATGGTACATAACTCGAGGAAACATGCACATTTGATTGCGAGGATGGCACTGTGGTCCTTCAGTAAAGAGGGGGGGGGGCAAAAGGCATAGTCATAACAACCAAAGAGGCAGTCACCACTGGGGACGAGGCAGTCACCACTGGGGACGAGGCAGTCACCACTGGGTACGAGGTAGTCACCACTGGGGACTACGGATCCCTGCCAAAGAAGTTGCTGAGGGAACAGAATAAGCAGGATGAACCAAAGCCAGCCAAGTCTGAGCACTAGAGCCTGGTCTTCCTTCACAGTACCTCGGGCCTGGTCATTCGCCCCCACGAGCCCGAGTTTGAGACACGAGTTCGTTTACCAGTTGCATTTTGTTTAATAAAGTTTGGGCCACTGAGCCAAGGGATACCACCTACCACGGCAGTGAGGGAGACCGTGTGCTGGTGGCCAGTGTAGGAAAGAGTACCGCGCCCCAAACAGTGTTCCCTCTTTTTAACGGGCGAGTCCTACTACATGTAACATTCTCCAACAGCAGTATCTCCCTCTAGCCCCAGTCCGGACACCCAAACCTGCCTCAAAGAATGACTCTTCACTGGCAACCATTCCGACTGATCGGAAGTCGGATGACCTGAACTGGTACCCCTACATGGCTTCTTCGCCTTGGCCCGTTCTACTGTCCCTCCGAGTATTGTGTGTTGGTAGTCGTGGCTTAACTATGCCCATATATATGGAGGGGAGGTGTGGCTTTCCTCTGTGTGTGTGTACTCGCCTATTTTTGCTTGCGGAGGATGAGCTCTAGCTCTTTGGTCCCGCCTCTCAACTATCAATCAACTAGTGTACAGGTTCCTGAACCTACTGGGCTCTATCATATCTACACTTGAAACTATGTATGGAGTCAGCCTCCACCACATCACTGCCTAATGCATTCCATTTGTCAACCTTTGTGTGTGCGTGTGCGTGTGCGTGTGCGTGTGTGTGTGTGTGTGTGTGTGTGTAGATAGGTAAAGGGGGGGGGGTTGGTTTTGGAGGGGGGTAGGATGGGTAGGTGTGGCTTCTCCATGCCCTAGACCACAAAATTGAGGCAGCTTGTAGGGATGACTGATTTGGCGCGTCTCCGAGCACGCGCGCGCGTCAAGAAGAACCAGAAGCAGCACTTAGTGAAGGAGCTTGTAGAGGACACCGAGGACAAGGACGGTGACGAGGGCGAGGACGACAATGGTGATAATCTTGGCAAATGTGTTCATGTTGTGCTCAGCTTCCATGTACGGGTCTCGAGGCTTGGGGCGATCTATCGAATTTTGCACCAGGGTTGGGAAGGCCAGCTTCTGGGTGAATGAGAGTTTGGGCACTGGTTCCTGCAGGTAGGGCAAGTTGTGGTGGTTGTGGAGGAGGTGGTGGTTGTGCACGGCTCCAGCCTGCGACGGGTCGTAGTCGAAGGAGTCGTAGTCATAGTCCATACTGAAGTATGGATTGAGGGAGCGAGCCAGGGAGCGGAGACTGAGGAGAGATGGCCGCCGGGACCGCTGGGAGTCTTGACCTGAACCAGGGAGACCAACAGCAACAAAAATTATAGGATACGTTTTAACCCTACGTTAGTACCCTGGGGTGCTCGCTCACTACCACAATTACAAACAAAAATCACAACGGTGTTTCACACAATTTAACAATTGTACAATTAATATTCCACTACCTTGTAACATTTACTGCATTAATGTGTAACCATTATGTATACTGTTGAAGAGTAACGTCTTATTTTGGCTCGTAGATGATTCGTTTGGGTGTTTAAACACCCCAAGGAACTAATCTTAATACATCCTTCATATATTTTTCAGTATTTATCGATTATTTGCATTTCCATATTTTGAAATTAGTAAATAATAAAAATGTTTGCAAAACATTTTGTCGCCCTTGGCATACTATTAGTGCCTTGAGATCAACAACAAAAGTGTCCTTCCTCACCTGGTATCTGAAGCCTAAAACTCGGGTGCCTCTCGACGGCGGTGTTGGAGTTGGACCTCGGGTACGGGTGTGAGAGGGAGTGGGTGCGGGAGAGCTCCGAGCGGAGGGAGAGGTGGGAGGACCCAGGGGACACTGCAGACCCGCTCTCCGTGAAGGAACACATCGAGTTGACGGAGAGAGTGACCATCTCTGGCGCCCCCTGCTCGCTCTGCATGCTGTCGGACCTCGAGCACTGCAACACCACATGTCGGACTATTGAGTAAGGTTGGGTTTGGTCGTCTATTATGCATCCTATACCCGTCCTGTAGGCGGTAATGGAACACATACCCATCCCGTGGGCAGTACTGGAACAGTTTATATTATATATATAATAATTTATTGAGAATAGCAGTTGTAAGGAATGAGTGAGCATGATAGATGTAAGGAAGTAAGGCCGTAAAGAATTAAGGCGGGTTTACTGCAACGAATGACTCGTCATCACACGGTTGCCATAGTTGAACTTAAGACTAGAGTTGGAATGGGTATGAGGCTGTGTGTGTGTGTGTGTGTGTGTGTGTGTGTGTGTGTGTGTGTGTGTGTGTGTGTGTGTGTGTGTGTGTGTGTGTGTGTGTGTGTGTATGCGCGCGCGCGCGCATGATATGACTGGAATGACAAAGTTGAGTATTATTAATAAATATTTACACGAGTATAAGTGGCATCGTACAAGTGGCAATCATGGTAGAAAGGCTTAAAGTAACATGTTCTTGTTGAAAAAAGTAGGTTCAAGAATACATACAATCCAGAAGACGTAATTGGACACTTGATAGATGATCTGATCATAAAACACGATTGAATGGCAAGTAGAGAGAGATCACACATGAAAATGAAATAAATAAAACCTATTTGGTCCTACAAGCAGTACTAGTTACCCCCAAAGAAAGACGAGGCTTCATGAACTCGCCCTGACGAGCCCCAGAAGGTAAACAAAGTTTGCGGCCTCCGCTCGCCAGGCCAGCCACACCACCAACCTCCGACAAGTCGCTCTTCTCGTCCGAACAAGATCTTGACGACATGGAGAAGCGTCGCGGCCACAGGTTCCCCACGCCCAGGCAGTTAGCGGCCTTCAGTAGGCGTGGGTGAGACGAGCATGAGGGCGTGTGGGCAGGGGCAGGTTGATCGGCGTTGCACGTACTGTCCTGTACGCCTTTGCTCTGCTCCTCAGGCTGGGAAGGAAGGGAAAGGTGGGTGTAATGGTGGGGGGCTGTGGCTGGGAAGTGCAAAGGGAGGGGGGGCTTGTTGGGTTACGGGTGTTGTGGATGGAAGTGCTGGGGAGGGAGAGGGAAATCGGTGGGTTAGGGGTAAGAGGAAGGGATTCGTTTAGGTGAGGGTGGGTATTAGTTCAAGGGCACGGTGTTTGGGTAGTAGATAAGGTGGGTATTGGGAGGAGAGGTGCAGAATTAGGGGAAATTGTTGGTGGAAACACTGACAAAGGTACAATAACGAAATAGGTGGAGTGATAAGTAGGTGTAAATGCTCACTGTCTCTTCAAAGTAAGGGTTGTGATGATTTTAAAACGTGCTTTATGTACACATTTTAAAATACATAAACCGAAAGAATTTGGAAAAGTTTTCGAAAGTTTGATGAGCTTGACTGACACTTTTGGAAGATTTTATTTGAAGCTGCCCTAGATAAGTCCTCCAAAATCTTAAAGAATATTTATATGCCAAATCCCAAAGAATATTATACAACAGAGACGTTGACACGAGTGACTACACAATACTCTTATCTCTGATAGGTTCCTAAGCCTAATCAGCACCATTTAATATAATATTTTTCATACATCACCAGGAAAAGCAGAGTTTAACCATTTTCAACACAAAATAGAATCAGTAACGACATTTCGTTCTCGAAATACGACAGCCAGCCAACGTCTGGAACATGAAAAAGCCGGTGCAAGGTTTGTGCATCACACAACAGTCAACAGGCTCACCACAAGAAGAGTAAACATCAACAA